ACTGTAAGTGATAATCCACCTTAACCAAAATCAAAGTAGACTATCACTCACCCACACCAGATGGAAAACTCTACAGACTGTCGGTTCACACCCCATCACAAGCCAGCAAAACACCCACGAAACAAAGAAAGGTCTGTCACAACCAAAAAATACACTCCAGACACGCCGCTGGCACTACAGGCACAGCATGGCCGCGTAGTGACGGCCCCGACCACTGCCGCTCGACCTGACCGAAGAAAACCGTAGCAGGAATCTAGCGAAGTCGTAGTATATATCGTCAAATAGAGCTGCCCGGTAAACCGTAGGCAGCGAGGGAGAAGAGGACAACAAACGAGGGGCTGTGACAAACTGTTTCGTCGGAGTTTCACCGACTCATCAGGAGGCTGAACCCTCAACAGTCTGTAGAATCCCCTCACTGATTACACTATAAGTGATAATCCACCTTAACCAAAATCAAAGTAGACTATCACTCACCCACACCAGATGGAAAACTCTACAGACTATCGGTTCACACCCCATCACAGGCCATATATATAGTCAAACAGAGCTGCCCGGTAATCCATAGGCAGAGAGGGGAGAAGAGGACAACAAACGAGGGGCTGTCCCCCGATGAGGAAAGGGCAGGTTTAAAAAACATGAAGAAAAAAAAAAAGTTCGGAGGCAGCTGGACGCCCAGCGTACAGTACATATATTTTTCTTAGAGAATTTTTCAGTTTCGTCAACTTGAAGGCTTTCACTGTGCACACTCCGTTTCCACTCCCACAACTTTCCAGCAAAGTGGTGCAATAAAATGTGGAATGCTCCCAATCAAATGGGTGCGAGTGATGCATGATGCCGAAAGGGATTGAAGACTGCCAACATCCTGAGTGTCCCCTTCTCTGACAAAATACTGTGGGCTGGTATCCAGCGAACACAGCCGCACACCCTCCCAACCTCCCACCCACACACCTACACTCGCACGCACACACGCCCACGCACACGCCCACGCACACCCAAACGCACATGCACATGCACACGTAGAGACAAAATCACACCCAGAAATGCTCTGTTATTCTTTCTTTCAGTGAAATCCGCCTCCCAAAAAGACCTCTCTCTCTCTCTCTCTCACACAGACACACACACATACACACACACACACACACACACACACACACACATGATCTACCCCTCTCTCTCTCTCTCTCACACACACACACTCTCTCTCTCTCTCACACACACACACACACACAC